ATTATGATAAATCGTGACTTATTTTTATCTCTGAGTGATGCCATTGGCATAAAAAATGACCCCGAGTAGCAGTGTTGAACCCAACTGCCCCCTAACATCAGCAGACAGTCTTCTGACCTCTTCTCCTTCTTCCTTGCAGCAGACCGAAAGCAACATTTTCCCAGTATCCTCAGCTGAGATTGTGTGTCATGAATCTGTTTTTAACATTGTATGTCCATGTAATTGCATTAGTAGATGCATGGCAAGAAGATGAGAAATATGGAAAGTCTGTTTGTTACTTTTCTCAGCCTGCATTAGTTTGTCTTTTTCTATCTGTTTCTAGTATTCCTATGAATCATTTAGTCATTTGTGTCATGTAAAGCTTTCTCATTGTTATGTTTTATGAGACATGCAGACACTTAACCAGGAAGCAAAATATCCAGTAATTTTGATAGATTTCATTGTGCTGGGAAATAAAGCTGGATGATCTGTGATTGATCAATGTCACAATAACAAACTGAAAGAAAGGACCACATTCTGGGCAACTGCAATACTTTAGGATGCTTTGCTCATGCCTATTTCCCAATCAGATGCAATTATGTCTGGGTACTATGTATCTTCCCTGAAGAGCAGCATTCAGATGGCAGTGTGACATCTGGCAACCAGGGCTAGTTCCAAGTTTCATCAGTTTTATATTTCTTCTCTTGTGATATGGCAGCTTAATAGAGCCTCTATCACCACAAATATCCTTAATTATAAGCATTTTGTACTACCGCACTCCCTGTATGTGAGATAATAAGATAAGCTGTAAATCCTTCATGACAGTAATTTTTATAACAGAAACACTCTCTGAATCTTTGCAGTTGGAGTGAAGGATGCCGTGCCGAAGGACGGGTTCCCTCCCTCCCTCTCACTGACCCTGGAGGTGCTGCATGGCACACTGCAAAGTCCTTTGCAAGCCTTTCCTCAAAACATTTTGGGACTTTGTGGCAAGGTGGCAGAAAAGTTTTAAACCTGAAGATGGGGCCTTGTGCTCAAATGGCCCACAGTGTTGCATAGTGCTACAGCTAGAGCATGTGAAACAGTGCAGGCATCACCAGGTGTTTTTGGCAGATTGCTCTTCGGAAGCGTTCCCCCCACATTTTTCAGGTTTTGTTCAGGGGAAGATGGGAGAAGTCTAATACTGCTAAATCAGGGATGCACAACCAGTGGCCTTGAGACCACATGCAGCCCTGGTCTCTTCCAAGGCAGTCCCCTAAACCAGCAGGACCCCAGTCACTTTCCCGCGCAAAGGACACAAGTTTCAAGATCACTGTCTTCCTGGTGCTAGTGGCAACAGACAAATAGCAATTCCAGCATAAAGCAACAGGAGATGGGAGACCCCCTATCTTCATCTCTTCCCAGTGCATAGAGAGGAGGCCCAGCTCTTGCACATTACAGTCTGCTTGGACAGATGCATCCAATTCACAGGAACAGGCAGAAAGGCAAAATGACTTGGCAGTTTCAAGGTTGCCTAGTGAAGATTCTCCGGCAAAATGTGAAAACTGACCTGCCTTGGAAAAGGCGGGAGACACTTCAGAGCTGGTGGGGGAGAAAATTGTGGGGAAGTTCCTTGACCCAGTCAGGAGATGACAGGCGAAATGAACAGACCAATTTTGAGGTGTCCGGTGTTCCTGCCATTGAGCCTTCAAGCAGCAGGAGCCAGCCTCAGGGTGGTTCTTTGAGCATTTTGGAAAGCAGGGACTTAGATTCAGCCCTTTACATGGCAGATGCTTCTCCCACATTTTAAGGAGAAAGCTACTTTGATTTATACTGCTCTGTAACCTGTCAAGCTTTAATAAAAGAACTGAGTCTGCCGGAGAGGGAAAGAGGGAGGGAGAAAACAGCTCTCAACACCGTGATCCCCAGATCTCCATGGAACAGTCCATGCATGTGTTTGGAGGTGGGTATGTAGGAGTGAAATATACTAGCTGTGGTTCTTGGGGATGAAACCATCATGGTCTAAAGGCACTTTGGAAATTTTACTCTTTCCCACTGTGGCATCACAGTTCAGATCCTCATCATTAGCCTGTCAGAAGCTCCAATCAACATTGGCTTCCTCAGCCATATCATGAACTCCCATCATCTTTGGGGATCATCTTAAGGATGGACAGGAAAGCT